GCTGAGGGCATTGCTAGAAGGGATGTGGTGCACTCTCACGAGGCACCCAGTCTTCCTGAGATCAGACGCTATCTCTGACTGCAACAAAGGCTTCTCAGCACATTCTCAGGAGTGAAGATGGGGCAGATTTACATCCTCTGAATTTGGGAAGTTATAAGGAGCTGGTGCAGAGAAAATCAGGAAGTGGTTCATCGGAAGCAAAAATCATCTATTTTTTTCTCTCAAATGTTATGATTAAAGGTATGTAACATAGCTGATGCCTTAAGGAAAGAGGGCTGTGGAAGACAGTGAATTAAGGTGTAAAAATGTACAGCCAATACCTAAAGAATTTGTCAGTTCAGGTCATTATTTAAATTAGTTATTTTTTCTTTCTCTGAAGTACAACTCAGCTTCTTAGTACTCCTGTCACAAAATTGCCATAAGTTGTTCTAAATTAATTATTTCATAGGATATTGACATAGCTCTTATTTTTGGGGAATGGACATACGATTATCTTGTACATGGTAATTCTGTCAAAAGATAAAACAGTTTCTAAGGAGTTAAGATATCACCCAGTTAACCATTAAGTCCTTGATGAAGTGACTATGGGGAAACAGTAGAAAACAATGGGTAGTCCTATCCATAATTTTTAGTAACTAATTTACATAAATTATATGCACTTCTAAAGTGTTTAAAAGGATTATATCATAATTGAGGTTAACATTTATTGTATTTTGTGTACCAGAAAGTGCATTAAATGTTTTGGATACAATATTTAATAGTGTATCACATGTTTTCTTTCTGCTGATAGGAAACAGAGAAACACTTCACCATGAAAACAGATGAAGGGACTGAGCCAGGTAAGGAACACTTCTAAATATGCAGAGCCAACCTAAAATGAATGACTTGTACTGGATTATTTCCAAAGTATAACTATATAGAGTGTGTTCATCTTAGATCTGGAGTCTGTGTAAGGTGGCGTGAGGATAAATCATTGACCTATCAAAATTAACTTACCTCCTTCCTCTATCTTTTTCATAAACCCAACAATCACTGAAAGTTCATCTTCTTCTTTTTTTTTTTTTTTTTGAGACGGAGCCTGGCTCTGTCGCCCCGGTTGGAGTGCAGTGGCCGGATCTCGGTTCACTGCAAGCTCCGCCTCCCGGGTTCACGCCATTCTCCTGCCTCAGCCTCCCGAGTAGCTGGGACTACAGGCGGCGCCACCTCACCCGGCTAGTTTTTTGTATTTTTAGTAGAGACAGGGTTTCACCGTGTTGGCCAGGATGGTCTCGATCTCCTGACCTCGTGATCCGCCCGTCTCGGCCTCCCAAAGTGCTGGGATTACAGGCTTGAGCCACCGCGCCCGGCTGAAAGTTCATCTTCTTATTGAAACCTTCAGAAACTTTCCAGTGTTTAGTGCCAACTTAAGGTTTTGTAACATTAAATAAGAATCTATAAAACATAATTTATCAATGGGTGTGAAACCCCATCTTTTCAGATTATGTCACAGTGCCAATTTGAATGACTTGATTACTGACTCTTAATATAGATTATTTTATAGATTGATGGTAACAGAATATTCCATGCAATGGCTTATGAGTTCATTAATATGAGGCTTTAAAGGGCAGAAGTTTTGCATTTTAATAGCCATTTCTTACTTTTTATTCATGGTTTGCTTCTACAATGTTTGCATATTTATTTATTTGTTTACAGAGAGGGTCTCACTCTATTGCCCAGGCTGGAGAGTGGGGGTGAGTTCTTGGCTCACTGCAACCTCTGCCTCCTGAGTTCAAACAATTCTGCCACCTCAGCCTCCTGAGTAGCTGGGACTTTAGGCAATCGCCACCGTGCCTGGCTAACTTTTGTGTTTTTTGGTAGAGACAGGGTTTCACTATGTTGGCCAGACTGGTCTCAAACTCTGGACCTCAAGTGATCCACCTGCCTCAGTCTCCCAAAGTACTGAGATTACAGGGATCAGCCACTGTACCTGGCCTGTTTGCATTTTTAAATCAAAACAATTCATCAGGAAAACCAGAAAGTGCTTCATCATTCTATCTTTACGAAGAAACGATAAATCAGAAATTTTAGGTCAAGAAAACGTATCAGATGAGAGACAGAAGCAATATCCACGCCAAATTGTTCTACTACCTACCAATGTTTCTGCAGGCCTCTGACAGTTCTTACAAAGGTAGTGATGAAAATAAAACATTTTTGGTATGTTTACAAAGCTGACCTCTACTACATAGACCTCAGCATGCCTAGACTAGGGTCAATAGGTGAGGAGTCCTAAAAAACAGTAGAAAGTGTAATTGAAAGTCAGATTTTACCTAGTTCAGTGCTATTTTGAGTGATAGGAAGGGAGAGGAGAATTTTGCTACATTTGTTTGTATTCTCACTTTCAGTGAGTCCCATACATTTATTTTTATACGATTTGGTATTTATTCCTAGATAGAATACCATACATTGTCAGTTACCTTGGAAGTACTCACAGACATTCACTATGTCTGATATTGTGTACTTTTTAGTTGTTATTACTGAACTTTGTTAGATTTTAAACTGTACTTATCATTGGATGCATGCTTTCATTCATCCTGTGAGTCTTAAAAGTATCAAGCGATTTGCAGAGTGCATTAGCCTTTGTGGTCAGTCTTCACTGTGTCCGACCCACTACTAGGTGCCTCCTGTTCCCCAACACCCACTAACACCTCATCCCCAACACAGACATTTGCATTTGTTGTACACCATCTAAATGGGACAAGGGTTTTTATGAAAGGAAATCTTCATCTTATCACCAGTTAAGAAACAATCAGACATTCTTCTTTCCTGACTGGATTTTCCTTTTTGTCCTTCCATCAGTGCCACTGAAAAAACTATGGAAATAGTCACTTTGGAAATAAGGAAATACAATGGGTAAGATATATAGCTGTACATTTAACTGACAAGTGAGATGACAAACTTTCCACATACAGAGCTTTCTATGAAACTGCATTAAATATTATTGAATAATTAATCAATTTAAGGAAATCTTTTGTGTTCACACACACGCACAGAAAGTTAGGTAGGCTATTGTCTCAGTTTTCTTTGGCTCAGCCTGAAGTGAATTGTGTTGCTTCATGAGAAATATAAATATTAAAATTAACTGCAATGCAAGGACAATGTTTATACAGGCTTTACTATGTGTGTGAATGCATTATAATAGACTACTCCATGTGCAGGCAATTCTTCCAATAGCCATATGCCTTGAGGGTCCATGCAAACATGCAGAGTTGCTACTTCATATTTAACAGTGTTTTGATCAATCCACTTGTTCTTCATCTTTAACTTTTTAGTAAAAATTTGCTTAGGTGAATAGTACTCAATTTAATAGATTTAAATGATCTATAATATACAACTATTTTCCCCTAAGACATAGCATTCAGGTGGCATGTTTACGTATGTATGTATGTGTATTTGTATTTCTTGCATTTCTTCTCTCCATGATGGTAGATGAATAGACAAAGATATAAAATAGAGATGAAGATGTTGAATAGAAGGAATGATTAGGAAGTGTGTTGTAAAATTTCCCAATAGGTAAAATAGAGGAAGATAAACGTATTGTGACAGTGACAGTACATATGTGTATATGCACTGCTATACCTGGTACTTACTGAGCACCTAATTACTTTCCTAAGTGACTGTGGGAATTAACTTAATCATCACAGCAACCTCATGAGGAATCCAAACTGCAGTACACCAACTGCAAGGAATATTTTGTCAAGAGTAGATAATTATTAGATTGAGAGAAAAATAACTGTAGCATTTGAGATTCTTGAGGGAGACCAGATTTAATTTCAGAAAATAGAATATGTACCTATGGACAGAATATATAGGCGGTCATAGTAAAACTTAGCATTAAAAATTTTTTTCATTACATGAGATCTTAATTGTTAAGGGTGCTAGGTATAATGGCAAGCAAAAATAAATAAATGAAATCCCAGATGCAGTACCTGTGTCTGGGGTTATTGTCAGGAAGAAATTAGCAAGTAATTGTCACCAGAGTGATAAAAGTGCTATCACAGCTGTTATAGGGTGGTGACAACACAGCGGGGTTGGAAGGGGGGTCATGTAACTGACTACTATGGGGATGAAGGCGAAGGGGAGTCGGAAAGAGTTTCCAGAAAGAAGACAAAACTATGCTGGAACTTGAATATTGACAGGCGGTTTACTAGGTGGATAATTAGTGAAGCAAATGTCCAGCCCCCATGGGAAAATGAGCACAAAGAAAAGAAAGTATGTGTAAGCAAGGCGTATACTCAACATGCAAATAATTTGATATAACTGTAACATGAGGCCCATTTGGGTAAGGGATGAAATAAAAGTTTTTATCAATTGTCAGTGGCCCAGCCCATAGATTTTCACGAACCTTATTAAGCACTTTGAATTTTCACTTGCAGGCGATGGTAATTTTTATTTAGCAAAGAACAGTCTGATAGAGAAAGAGTGGCAGACGAGAAATATTAAAAGTAAAAACATTAGTTGCTATGACAAAAATTATCTAAGCAGTACAACATAGACAGGATTTGAATGGCTGTGATGCAACGTTCACATGGTTGTCCCTTCTTGTCTTTCACATCTTAGCTCACGCTCCTCATTCTCAAGAATCCTCTCTGACCACCTAATCTAAATTGGTTGGCCATCAGGACATGCCCTCATTTTAATTCTCTGTATCATAGCAATTATTTATTTATTGAATAATTAATTTGTTTTACTGTACTAAAGTATAATTTCCATTTGGGGAGAAATGTTTTTTGTTTATTGCTGAATCCCAAGATCGACAACAGTAACTGCAAAATACTCTGGCTCAATACTTGTTGAATGAATGAATGAAGAAAGCAAGTCAGTGTCAAGATAAATGGATATGTACAAGAGGCCCTTTATTTGGTAGTATTTGACAACTGATTAAAGGAAGGGATGAAGGGAGAATTGAGCTAAAATTAACATTTTAAAATTTTATGCTTGGTGATTATGGTTTGGACAAATCAACTGAGATAGTGAACACAGAATAGGATTTGGTTTGAAAAGGTATGGGGATGAGTGTAATTTTTGAATTTTATAATGCAGGTAAGAAATTCATTTCTCTGATTTACTAAAACTCCTAAAAAGTAATAATGACTTATTTCCCTCATCCAAAGGAATCTTTTTAGTGACTTTGGTGTTTCTCTTTCCCAGGTCATGAGTCTTAATTGTTCCATGTGGCAGGACAACAGCATGTCTGTCAAACACTTTGCATTTGCCAAATTCTCTGAGGCCACTGAACAGTGTTTCCTTCTATTTTCCCTCATCCTACTCATGTTCTTAGCATCACTGACAGGCAATGCTCTCATAGCCCTTGCTATCTGGACCAACCCAGTCCTCCACACCCCCATGTACTTTTTCCTGGCCAACTTGTCTCTCCTGGAGATCGGCTACACTTGCTCAGTCATACCCAAGATGCTGCAGAGCCTGGTGAGCGGGGCCCGAGGAATCTCTCGGGAGGGTTGTGCCACACAGATGTTTTTCTTTACATTGTTTGCTATCAGTGAATGCTGCCTTTTGGCAGCCATGGCATTTGACCGCTACATGGCCATATGCTCCCCATTGCACTATGCAACACGAATGAATCGTGGAGTGTGTGCCCACTTGGCAATAGTTTCTTGGGGAGTAGGATGCATGGTGGGCCTGGGGCAGACAAACTATATTTTCTCCTTGGACTTCTGTGGCCCCTGTGAAATAGACCACTTCTTCTGTGACCTCCCACCTATCCTGGCACTCGCCTGTGGGGACACATCTTATAATGAAGCTGCAGTCTTTGTCGTGGCAATCCTTTGCATTTCCAGCCCATTTTTACTGATCATTGCTTCCTATGGCAGAATTCTAGCTGCAGTGCTGGTCATGCCCTCACCTGAAGGCCGCCGTAAAGCTCTCTCCACCTGTTCTTCCCACCTGCTTGTAGTAACACTCTTCTACGGCTCAGGATCTGTCACCTACTTGAGGCCCAAGGCTAGCCATTCACCAGGAACAGATAAACTCCTAGCTCTCTTCTACACAGTGGTGACATCCATGCTGAACCCCATCATCTACAGCTTACGGAACAAGGAAGTTAAGGCAGCTCTCCAGAGAACCGTGGCAAGAAAAAAATTTTGACCCATAGTTAGGTACCAGAGGACTTTGAAAATTTGCTTCCTGGAAAAGATGTACAAATAGCCTAAAAGTTAACAAACAAACAAAAAGCTGTGTACTCGCCCACATGTCTTGTAAGGAGCTTCTTTAGTTACAGTGATGGTAATTTTTGAGTCATCTCTGTACTTAGAGTATAAAATTACCAGTTTACACCTCAGAAGCCTGGCAAATTCTTACTCTACACTCTTAGGCATTTTCTAGCCCCTGACGGGCCTATCTGACTTTTGCTTTGGTCACAAGGGGGTGTGTTCTTAAAGGTGCCTGTCCCCTATGATTCTTAATTACCTAGTAATTCTAGAAAGTTTATTATTTCCTTTCATAAGAATGTCTTAAAATTCAACTTTAATTATTGGTACATAATTACAAATAATTATTTTTGTGATTTGAGTGTAACTATAAAATATGTAAACATTTAAATAAAAGCACCTTCTTAAGTTTCAGAAGCATTTGTTACAGAATATTAAAAGAAAAATATGGGCAATATTTACTGAGAGTTCTCATGGTAAAATGTTTTTAAAAAGAGAAATAGTATTAAAATGCAAAGATGGAGAAAGAAAATGGAACTAAAATTAATATAAACTTTTAAAAATGTAATTTAAAAATGTATATATGTGCAGATGGATCCTGATGCAATAGATTTGGAGATCATCCAAAAACTTGCTCTTCAGAGGACTGAACATGGTTATAGCACAATTCAGTAGCTCTAGGCACCTACAGAGGCATTGCCTTGGATTTAAACGTCTAGTTCTCAGAAAGGGGCTCTGTTAACATTTGATCTATGAGGAATTAACAACTACTCATATAATAGTTGTAATAGAAGAAACAGTGGAGAATTGTGATACTTCCATGATCTTGCTTAAGGTTATCTGCCAAATAGAGAGATGTAATCTTCTCTCAGAATGTGGTTTTTCTACTATTGGGGAATAATGGTGATGCTCACTAATGACCAAGGTGTATGTTTTGCTGGATATTCCAATTTTATGAAAACCTGACTTATTAATGTAAATGTAAAACTGTGGTTTTTATTTATACTGTGTGTATAGTAATTGACAATGTAAATAATCTGAACAGGCAAGAATAACTGACCAGTTAACACAGACTACAATTAAAAACAGAAATTATATTTAGTTATTAGATAATTTATAAGTATGTTTATAAGCTTAGAAAGAAATGTAAATGTGATTTATTAAGTGATGGAGCATGTTTTAATAATTGTATAGTATGACCTCTTGTTTTTGCAAGAACTTTATATATAAATTTGAGTGGATCCAAATGATATGTCAACAGTAGTTTCTTTAGGCAGTTATATTACTGGTAAATTTTTTTCTTCTCTCTGTTTCTGAAATATCTTCAATAAATATGTATGTCATGTGAATAAAGATATAAAATATTAAATTGTTGACTTCTTTTTAAAAGCCTTTTTCTTTTTTTTATTTATTTATTTTTATTTATATTTTCCTTCCCTTTTCTAACAAATTGTTGAGGTTTTTCTTAAAACAAATGTGAGGCGGAGCAAGATGGCCGAATAGGAACAGCTCCAGTCTCCAACTCCCAGCGCGAGCGACACAGAAGACCGGCGATTTCTGCATTTTCAACTGAGGTACTGGGTTCATCTCACTGGGGAGTGCCAGACGATCGGTGCTGGTCAGCTGCTGCAGCCCGACCAGCGAGAGCTGAAGCAGGGCGAGGCATTGCCTCACCTGGAAAGCGCAAGGGGGAAGGGAATCCCTTTTCCTAGCCAGGGGAACTGAGACACACAACACCTGGAAAATCGGGTAACTCCCACCCCAATACTGCGCTTTAAGCAGACAGGCACACCAGGAGATCATATCCCACACCTGGCCGGGAGTGTCCCACACCCACGGAGCCTCCCTCATTGCTAGCACAGCAGTCTGTGATCTACCGGCAAGGCAGCAGCGAGGCTGGGGGAGGGGCGCCCGCCATTGCTGAGGCTTAAGTAGGTAAACAAAGCTGCTGGGAAGCTCGAACTGGGTGGAGCTCACAGCAGCTCAAGGAAACCTGCCTGTCTCTGTAGACTCCACCTCTGGGGACAGGGCACAGTAAATAATAACAAACGCAGCAGCTCTGCAGACGCAAACGACTCTGTCTGACAGCTTTGAAGAGAGCAGTGGATCTCCCAACACGGAGGTTGAGATCTGAGAAGGGACAGACTCCCTGCTCAAGTGGGTCCCTGATCCCTGAGTAGCCTAACTGGGAGACATCCCCCACTAGGGGCAGTCTGACACCCCACACCTCACAGGGTGGAGTACACCCCTGAGAGGAAGCTTCCAAAGCAAGAATCAGACAGGTACACTCGCTGTTCAGAAATATTCTATCTTCTGCAGCCTCTGCTGCTGATACCCAGGCAAACAGGGTCTGGAGTGGACCTCAAGCAATCTCCTACAGCTACAACCTACAGCTGAGGATCCTGACTGTTAGAAGGAAAGCTATCAAACAGGAAGGACACCTACACCAAAACCCCATCAGTACATCACCATCATCAAAGACCAGAGGCAGATAAAACCACAAAGATGGGGAAAAAGCAGGGCAGAAAAGCTGGAGATTCAAAAAATAAGAGCGCATCTCCCCCGGCAAAGGAGCGCAGCTCATCGCCAGCAACGGATCAAAGCTGGACGGAGAATGACTTCGACGAGATGAGAGAAGAAGGCTTCAGTCCATCAAATTTCTCAGAGCTAAAGGAGGAATTACGTACCCAGCGCAAAGAAACTAAAAATCTTGAAAAAAAAGTGGAAGAATTGATGGCTAGAGTAATTAATGCAGAGAAGCTCACAAACGAAATGAAAGAGACGAAAACCATGGCACGAGAAATACGTGACAAATGCACAAGCTTCAGTAACCGTCTCGATCAACTGGAAGAAAGAATGTCAGCGATGGAGGATCAAATGAATGAAATGAAGCGAGAAGAGAAACCAAAAGAAAAAAGAAGAAAAAGAAATGAACAAAGCCTGCAAGAAGTATGGGATTATGTAAAAAGACCAAATCTACGTCTGATTGGGGTGCCTGAAAGTGAGGGGGAAAATGGAACCAAGCTGGAAAACACTCTTCAGGATATCATCCAGGAGAACTTCCCCAACCTAGTAGGGCAGGCCAACATTCAAATCCAGGAAATACAGAGAACGCCACAAAGATACTCCTTGAGAAGAGCAACTCCAAGACACATAATTGCCAGATTCACCAAAGGTGAAATGAAGGAAAAAATCTTAAGGGCAGCCAGAGAGAAAGGTCGGGTTACCCACAAAGGGAAGCCCATCAGACTAACAGCAGATCTCTCGGCAGAAACTCTTCAAGCCAGAAGAGAGTGGGGGCCAATATTCAACATTCTTAAAGAAAAGAATTTTAAACCCAGAATTTCATATCCAGCCAAACTAAGTTTCATAAGTGAAGGAGAAATAAAATCCTTTACAGATAAGCAAATGCTTAGAGATTTTGTCACCACTAGGCCTGCCTTACAAGAGACCCTGAAGGAAGCACTAAACATGGAAAGGAACAACCGGTACCAGCCATTGCAAAAACATGCCAAAATGTAAAGACCATCAAGGCTAGGAAGAAACTGCATCAACTAACGAGCAAAATAACCAGTTAATATCATAATGGCAGGATCAAGTTCACACATAACAATCTTAACCTTAAATGTAAATGGACTAAATGCTCCAATTAAAAGACACAGACTGGCAAACTGGATAAAGAGTCAAGACCCATCAGTCTGCTGTATTCAGGAGACCCATCTCACACGCAGAGACATACATAGGCTCAAAATAAAGGGATGGAGGAAGATTTACCAAGCAAATGGAGAACACAAAAAAGCGGGGGTTGCAATACTAGTCTCTGATAAAACAGACTTTAAACCATCAAAGATCAAAAGAGACAAAGAAGGCCATTACATAATGGTAAAGGGATCAATTCAACAGGAAGAGCTAACTATCCTAAATATATATGCACCCAATACAGGAGCACCCAGATTCATAAAGCAAGTCCTTAGAGACTTACAAAGAGACTTAGACTCCCATACAATAATAATGGGAGACTTCAACACTCCACTGTCAACATTAGACAGATCAATGAGACAGAAAGTTAACAAGGATATCCAGGAATTGAACTCATCTCTGCAGCAAGCAGACCTAATAGACATCTATAGAACTCTCCACCCCAAATCAACAGAATATACATTCTTCTCAGCACCACATCGTACTTACTCCAAAATTGACCACGTAATTGGAAGTAAAGCACTCCTCAGCAAATGTACAAGAACAGAAATTATAACAAACTGTCTCTCAGACCACAGTGCAATCAAATTAGAACTCAGGACTAAGAAACTCAATCAAAACCGCTCAACTACATGGAAACTGAACAACCTGCTCCTGAATGACTACTGGGTACATAATGAAATGAAGGCAGAAATAAAGATGTTCTTTGAAACCAATGAGAACAAAGATACAACATACCAGAATCTCTGGGACACATTTAAAGCAGTGTGTAGAGGGAAATTTATAGCACTAAATGCCCACAAGAGAAAGCAGGAAAGATCTAAAATTGACACTCTAACATCGCAATTAAAAGAACTAGAGAAGCAAGAGCAAACACATTCGAAAGCTAGCAGAAGGCAAGAAATAACTAAGATCAGAGCAGAACTGAAGGAGATAGAGACACAAAAAACCCTCCAAAAAATCAATGAATCCAGGAGTTGGTTTTTTGAAAAGATCAACAAAATTGACAGACCACTAGCAAGACTAATAAAGAAGAAAAGAGAGAAGAATCAAATCGACGCAATTAAAAATGATAAAGGGGATATCACCACCGACCCCACAGAAATACAAACTACCATCAGAGAATACTATAAACACCTCTACGCAAATAAACTGGAAAATCTAGAAGAAATGGATAATTTCCTGGACACTTACACTCTTCCAAGACTAAACCAGGAAGAAGTTGAATCCCTGAATAGACCAATAGTAGGCTCTGAAATTGAGGCAATAATTAATAGCCTACCAACCAAAAAAAGTCCAGGACCAGATGGATTCACAGCTGAATTCTACCAGAGGTACAAGGAGGAGCTGGTACCATTCCTTCTGAAACTATTCCAATCAATAGAAAAAGAGGGAATCCTCCCTAACTCATTTTATGAGGCCAACATCATCCTGATACCAAAGCCTGGCAGAGACACAACAAAAAAAGAGAATTTTAGACCAATATCCCTGATGAACATCGATGCAAAAATCCTCAATAAAATACTGGCAAACCGGATTCAGCAGCACATCAAAAAGCTTATCCACCATGATCAAGTGGGCTTCATCCCTGGGATGCAAGGCTGGTTCAACATTCGCAAATCAATAAACATAATCCAGCATATAAACAGAACCAAAGACAAGAACCACATCATTATCTCAATAGATGCAGAAAAGGCTTTTGACAAAATTCAACAGCCCTTCATGCTAAAAACGCTCAATAAATTCGGTATTGATGGAACGTACCTCAAAATAATAAGAGCTATTTATGACAAACCCACAGCCAATATCATACTGAATGGGCAAAAACTGGAAAAATTCCCTTTGAAAACTGGCACAAGACATGGATGCCCTCTCTCACCACTCCTATTCAACATAGTGTTGGAAGTTCTGGCTAGGGCAATCAGGCAAGAGAAAGAAATGGAGGGTATTCAGTTAGGAAAAGAAGAAGTCAAATTATCCCTGTTTGCAGATGACATGATTGTATATTTAGAAAACCCTGTTGTCTCAGCCCAAAATCTCCTTAAGCTGATAAGCAACTTCAGCAAAGTCTCAGGATACAAAATTAATGTGCAAAAATCACAAGCATTCTTATACACCAGTAACAGACAAACAGAGAGCCAAATCATGAATGAACTTCCATTCACAATTGCTTCAAAGAGAATAAAATACCTAGGAATCCAACTTACAAGGGATGTAAAGGACCTCTTCAAGGAGAACTACAAACCACTGCTCAGTGAAATCAAAGAGGACACAAACAAATGGAAGAACATACCATGCTCATGGATAGGAAGAATCAATATCGTGAAAATGGCCATACTGCCCAAGGTAATTTATAGATTCAATGCCATCCCCATCAAGCTACCAATGAGCTTCTTCACAGAATTGGAAAAAACTGCTTTAAAGTTCATATGGAACCAAAAAAGAGCCCGCATCTCCAAGACAATCCTAAGTCAAAAGAACAAAGCTGGAGGCATCACGCTACCTGACTTCAAACTATACTACAAGGCTACAGTAACCAAAACAGCATGGTACTGGTACCAAAACAGAGATATAGACCAATGGAACAGAACAGA